AAGCCCTCACCCAAACAACCTTCACCCTGCAAATCCCTTACCCCCATCAGAAACCGATCTCCTTCACCTCCTCCTGCTCAACAACATCTGATATCCCCTAACTCTCATCAAACTTCTCCTCATCAGCAACCCAATCATCAGAACTCTCCGCCAGCTCCTACACAGCAATCATCTTCTCCTGCAAAAATGCCAGTACAAACTCTTGTCACAGGCTCTGCTCCATTTCAACACTTCATGACAGACATAAAGCAGGCTGGGAACCAAATTGGCAAAGGAATGGAAAAGCTCCTGGAAGCTGAGTATGAGACTGATGCTCATCTCACCAGAGTCAGTGAACATCTCACCAACGGCATCAATATGCTGCTAAAGCATGTAGGCATCATTGCCACAGCTTTTGAGGTTCACAAGGACAAAACTACAGAGAGCCTGAGCAACATTGCCAAGGAGGTGGATGGAATCTCTGCCGTACTATTTCATCACACAAAGGCCCTTGAAGAGCAAGACAAGGCTATTAAGAATATCTCTGATGCGGTAAGTGATCTTCAGTGGTCTCATGACAAAAATACAGAACTTCTGCAAGATGTTGAAGGATTGTGCAAAGACAACAAAGAGTTTGAAATCAAATTGATCAATAGTGGAAAGGACAGAGATCACAAGCTGACTCTCCTTGAAGCTACCACTAAGGACATCCAATCAGCTGTTGACAAGCAGAAAGAGACTCTCGAAGGGCTGGCTTCTGTTACTCAGACTCTACCAGGTACACTTGAAGCTATCAAGGAAAACCATGCTTCAGAATTCTCAAAAATTGGGCTCCTACTTGGCGATCTTGTTGATGCCAAAAAGGGGGAAGATAGCAGAGAACCTGTCCCTCTTCCCAGAGAAGCAGAAGGTCCAAGCTCCAGAGCCATTAACCCTGCTAGGTACTTTGAAAGAGCAAGGCAAAAGAGGCTAGCTTCTTTTGCCTTGTTCTTTCAAAGTACCTAGCAGGGTTAATGGCTCTGGAGCTTGGAGGTCCAAGCTCCAGAGCCATTAACCCTGCTAGGTACTTTGAAAGAGCAAGGCAAAAGAGGCTAGCTGCTGGTATTCAAAGACCTCCTCCTCCTCGGTCCAAGAAAGGAAAGAAGACAGCCTCCACTTTCAATTTGGCCCAATGGCTCAACAGTGACTTGGCTAAACCTGATGGTGCTCAATTCAGAGAAATGAAGAAGCATATGACCCCCACACAACAAGAGAATCTCATTCTGGATAAAGATGGACTGATAATTATTAATCATGGTGGTTCCATGCAAGAAGCAGAAGATTGGTGGCGGATGAAAGTGATCCCTGGCAAGGACCTATCAGAAGCCATCAGAAACTATCTTGATTGTCAACTTGAACCAGCCTGGTCAGAATATCAGAATCCCAGGAATCTTGCTACAATCAGAGCTAGGGTCAATGCTGATCTGAAAGAAATTGAAGCAAAGGAAGCTGACCTAGAAGAGGAAGATATCTAAACTCTATCCTCTTGTTGTTTTAAATATATTGCATTTATAAGATAACCAGCTTGCCTCTAATTTGCATGGCAATTTCAAATTATCTCTCTATTGCATTCTGATTATTTATGCTCTGATATCTTATGTTAGTTTCTTATTTTATTTATCTGATTGATTGTATCTTACTCTTACTATTCTCCTATGCCAAGTGCCCACCAAGATTTTAAATGAAAGTTTTTTTTTTTACCTATTTTCTTTATGGTGAAAGGCACTTCTCTGGAAATAGTTTAAGGGTTTTGGCATCATCAAAAAGGGGGAAATTGTAAGGAATAAATGTAATTAGATTTTGATGATGCTATAGGATTAGAAAGTTAGAGTACCCCCAAGTTAGATTTTATGTATTAGACTTTTCAATTGTAAGTATTAGTGTAGTCGACGATCAGAGTTGCTCTATTTTGGATCAGATCAGAAGTGCATCAGAACTGCTCGACCAGACTTGCTCTATGAGAACTGCTCCATCAGAGTTCTCTTACCAGAAGTCCATCAGAGGTGCATCATGAGAGTTGCTGATAAGACTGGACATCTGATAGCCGATAAGAACTACAGATCAGAAGCACTCATCAGCGGATCCATCAGAGTCAGAGTTCAGTCAGAGATCAGAAGACCATCAGAACTCAACTCATCAGATAGCCATCAGAATCCAACATATCAGAAGAACCTGATCAGAGCTCGACGAACACTCAGACGATTTTCAAGCAACATCCAACAGCTATGAATCCAACGGGTAAAACATCCAACGGCTAGAAGACTGTGCATGAAAGGAAAGCATTTAATGCACATTAAATGAGCCTGATACGCTGAAGGATTGATTGCAAATGATTGACCAAGGAATCCGGGAAGATATATTATAAAAATAGAAACCTTCCAAAACGGCGGTCAAGTCAACTGTACGCGCATTTAATGCAGTTGTCTCCTCCTCCAACGGGCAGACAACCTCCGTATATAAGCTACATACCGAAGAACTGAAAAACAACTTTGCTACAACTCTTACACATCATCATTCAAGCTCTCTTGAGATTCAAACTCTACAACCTTCAACAAGACAAGCTTACGTTGGGAAGATTCAAACTCCAAATCTCTCATCCCCAACAAACAAGCAAAGTTCATCCTGTTCTTCAACACTTCAAGAGCTTCATCAAACATCCTTTGTAACGAAGCAAGTTGGAGGAAAAACTCTGTTTTTCAAAAGGATCTTCTGAAAAGAAGGGCGTCCAAGTAACTGCAGTAGTGAAGTGGTGATACTTCCGGGAAGCTGAGTGAAAGGATCAGCCATCAGGACGTGGAATTGCATCCTGGGTGGCATCTAGGCTTGAAGAAGACGAGGAGTGCTTCTTAAGTGCTAGGAATTAGCTTTGTAACTGATCTACTTCAAAGCTAGTGGAACAGTGGACTAGAGGAACGAGTTGTTCCTTGAACCACTATAAAATATCCGGTGTCATTTACTTTACTGCAATTTATATTTCTGCACTTAGGATATTAACTGATTAACTCTAAGACTTGGAGTCTGTGTTCAGCAGATCTTGTTTTCAGAGTTATCAGAAAGGCATTTGCCTTAGTATTTTTCTGAGACTACCCGGACAGAACAGAATCCGCTGCCAAGGCCAGTTCTGATATCAGAACCAGCCTTTCTCTGTCATCAGAATCAGACCTTCTCTGATAAGTCACTTCGGACTTAGAGAAAATTTGAAAAACCAACCAGTCTATTCACCCCCCCCCCCCTCTAGACTGGTTACCTTATTAAACGGGACCAACAGTTTTTATTATTCAAATGTTCTAGATTGACTTTTTATACTATCAGTCCGTTTATGTAACCGGGTCTGTCAGGCCCATATTAGAGGCCCAGACCCGGATTTTCCCTATATATACTCCTTATAGGAGGCTTGTAAACATAACTCAAGAACTCATAGTTCATACACAATACACATTTTTCTTCTTCCTCTTCTCCATTACTCATTTTGATTCTTGTCCAATCTCTCCTGTTTATACAATATGGGTATCAATTATCCAACAATGGATTTAAGGCTTGAGCATAATTTTGCTATTTGAGCTCTCTTAGCGTTTCAATTTAATTATAACATTGTTCATTTGTTCAACACCAGATATTTACTCTTCAAATACTAAGAGTCTAGTATTGAGCATTATGATTGTTATAAAAAAACCAAAATAGTTGCTATAACTAGCAAGTTTAGTGAAATGATTCCAAAAAGTGATAAAGTTCAAAGTAAATAAAATAGCAGCGGAATAAAACATTCGTTAAATGTTACTGGCACACTCAATTCTCACATAATCGAATGCACAAGCTAAACGACAATTCAAAGTAAACATAAGAAACAAGTCTTCGAAGTTGAAATTAAGTAAACGTTCACAAAATAAAAACTATTCTAGGTTTTCTAAAGCATTTTTCTTCAAGCACAGTCTCATCACCTGCACCAAATAAAGTGTAAAAAACAAAACAAAAGAAATGGAAACAAAAATTAGCTTTATAGTTAAGTAAGGTCCACTCAATCCCGTAAAATAATATAGTTTTATTTAAAATAGTTTTGACATTTAAAGTACCGATTTTCGGAAATATAATCCAGATTTCAAAAGTTATTTATCTAGATATAATAATATCATAAGTTGCTAAAAAATCCCAACACTTCAAAAGATCAAAAACAAGATTTTTAAGAGTAAATTTGAGATCTTCCAAAACAACTAGTATTGCTGAAAACTTTCATTTAAAACCATAAGTAATCATATAATTCATATTCCCAATTAGGAGAAAACCACCATGTTCCAAATATTTAAAAAATAATAAGAATTTTCACCAAAAACCATTTATAATCCAATCTCCTAAATTCTTTATAGAGATGAGGAAAAACTTTGAAGAATTCCCGAACCAAATGAGTGTGGGGTCACATGCCACCCACGATTCACCTCAGGTATCACACGTAGAATACGTTGGTCACATGCTACCAATGAACCATCCGGTATCCCGGCCCCCGCCTAAACCATCAATAGAAATTGAATTTCTACCTTAAGTGTGCACACCACGTCCTGTAAAATGGATTTCAAGCCTTCGAGTAGTAAGAAGTCTAAGTAGTCCGGATAGGATTTCTATCAACTACGTACTCCACAAAGGAACGAATCCTATAAAAGTATACTAGGGACTACTCCCAGCAAAATCCGAAGAAAGGGACGTTTACATTCAAACATAGAAAAAATTCCACTTTTGGTCCCTTGAGTATTATACCACTTCCGCATTACGTACCTGAGTTTTGACTTGTCCACATTTAGTCCAGCCGTTTTGTCCCGTCACCCTCCGTCGTCCTTCCGGCCAAAAGTCCGGCCGTTTTCATTATAATAAAAAAAGGGGAAGGTTATTTAAGTAATTTCCAAGCTACTTTTACTTCTTCCTCGCCTACTCCATCTGTTTCGTAACCACCCCTCTTTAATACCCCTTACATCACCCATTCTTGAAACCTAAAGAAGAAAACCTATATCCCTCATCATCTATAAACTTTTACTTCGTCTTCCTCGTTCGTAGGCACTCCCTGTTCGAAGGCGACCATGTCTAGCAGTAGTTTTGCTACCTCAAAATCAACAGGCCGGTATGAATATGGAGAGTGGATCCCGGTCAAACATTGTCAATGTGGGCAAGAATTGAAGCTTTTGACTACATGGAAACAAGAAAACTGTGGGAGAAGGTTTTGGAAATGCGTTGGCAGCCAGGTATTAGTTTTTTGCTGCAGCTAAAATATTGCTCTGTATTTTTTGAGATGATTAATTGTATTAGTATTTGTAATATGTGATTGCAGTGGTCTGAAGGATGCGGTTTCATGGAGTGGTTTGACCCTCCAATGTGCAAAAGATCCAAGAAAATAATTCCAGGATTGTTAAAAAAACTGAATGGGTATGAAAACCACATTCACACATTGGAGCTGAAGCTGGAAGCAGTTGAGAAACCAGATAAAACAAATGACAAGATGGAGAAGATAGAGCACAAAAGATACCCTTGCACCAGACTTGTCACTTGCATTATAATAGCTTTTGTGGCTTTTGTATCCATGTATGCATATAGCAAGTAGTCTGGTAGCATTATTTTGTGTATCCAGAAGAATTTGAGGACATGTATTAGCTATTACCTTTGACATGAATTAGCTTTGACAAATGAGGAATGTTGCTATTAGCTTGACATGTATTGATGACAAATGGTCATGTTCATGACATGTATTAATGAAGTTGTCTTACTTCCATATTCAATGTTACATATGTTGTGTTACCAAAAGTAGAAACTGAAAACACAGAATCCTATAATATGACTTCCAAACTAAATGAAAACACTTGAATACATGTTAACCGTAAAGCAATATAAACAAACCACAAACATGTTACCATAAAGCAATATAAACAACACTGAAAAAACAGTTCTATACTATACCATTCACACTTCAATACATCTTCACCATAACATAATGAAAACAGTAATATACATATGCCATAAACATAATGAAAACAGTTATATAGTATACCATTCACTTCAATAACCATGTTTTTCCATACACAACAACAAAAGAGGCCAATGCATATGCCATCCAAAGTACTAATACACTTAAACAAAAATAAAAGAGGCCAATACATATGCCATCCAAAGTATTAATAAGCTTCAATAACCATGTTTTGTGACTTCCAAAATACCACCATATACACATACTAAACTGTGATATCTTCTGGTGGGCAAAAACATAGTCATAACTACACTTTAGTTCATGGTACAACAAAAGTAGAAATACAAACATCAACGCTAAAACCTACAACAAAGTGCAAGCCCCTTGAGACCTCTTCAAAAGAGTGACATCAAACACTACCCAAGCTCAATTGGTCAGCATCATTCCCATAAAAGATTGACTTGAAGGTTGTTTTGGATCTGGTAGAATAGCTTGGTCCTTTTTTGATGTCCAGTTTTTTGAGTTTTGCTTTGCCATGTCTTAAATTCACCCCTTGTGATACTGCAGCTTTTGAAGTCTTAGCCTTAGAAGGAGGGGGTGGTCCAAAGCTTATCTGGACCCCATGACTATTTCTCTGCTCAAAGTCATGGGTCTGGTCATGTTCTACATCATCACTCTTGTTTTCATCACTACTTTGGGTTTGAGTCACTTCTCCAGTCTGTCTTTCAGCTTCTTGGTCACTGATTTGAGTGAACATTGAAGTTTCTTCAAATGAAACAACAATAGGAAACTCAGCTTGTGCAGATGGGAAGTCTTCAAATTGCATATTGATATCCACAAGGTTGTCTTCATCTAAATCAGAAACCTTAACTGCTCCCACATCATCATTTTCAGCACTTTGACCAACCTTAGCAGCCCCCACATCCTCATTTCCAGTATGCCTTGGTGCAGATTTTGGTTTTCTTTTTCTAGGTTGAAGCTGAGTGTAGAAAAAGGTAATGGTTAAATATAAATATAATTTACTACGTATAAGTGCAAATAAATAAATGACAAAAATAACATAAAGCATGAGTCCATTTACCAGTTTTTCTTTGTTATTTGGATCTTCAGGACACCTCCTTGCATTGTGGCCTTCTTTTCTACACTTTGAACAATGCATCTTGATGTGTGTCCTTGCTACTCTCACTCCATCACTGGTGAGATCCACAATAGATTTCCTCCTCAATTTTCTTGGTCTTCCCGGTCTGGCTGAATACACAGGAGGAAGTGGGGGAATTTTCTCTGAAAGAGGCCACTCATCCTTTCCAGCCATTGGCTTGATAGTGCCACCATAGATCTTCAAATATGCTTCTTTTGTGTAACATGGGTGCACGTAAGCATCAACTGGACCCTTACCATACTTCAACCAAATAGCACACACATCATGTTTACATGGTATACCAGTTAGGTCCCACAACCTGCATGTGCATACTTTCCTTTGTAAATCAACCCCATGTTGTGTTCCACTCATTCCAGTAATCTCAAAGTCATTCTCACCACACTCGTAACCTATTAAACCTGCAGCAAAATTCTCAATGTCTTGTAACTTTTTAAGTATTCTAGGGCACAGATTAGTAGTCCATTTTTCTGCCTTTTTTCTACTGGTAAAGAATTTTGTCACCAATAGTTTCCTAATGCTTTCAAAGCACACCAAAATAGCCTCTTGCCTTGCTTCTAAGATGACACCATTGAAACACTCATATAAATTATTAGCTAACATATCTGTCTTGGAGTGTGTGGAGAAATGAGATTTGGACCATTCTGTAGGGTTCTTATCTGCCAGCCAATCAAAAGCCTATTCATCAATTCCCTTTAGCTTTCTTAGACTTGTTTTGAAAGAATTAACTGTACAAGCCCTGGCACAGTCCCAAAGGCAATCTTTGATAGCTTTTCCTGGAAATCCAGCCACCTTCATATTCCCATGTAGATGTCTAACACAGAACCTATGTTCAACCTTGGGAAATAATTCATTCACTGCTTGAATAAGCCCTTTTTGCTTGTCAGACATCAAAGTGAATACATGTTCATTGTCTTCATTGATATCAGCATCCCTTCTTACTAGGTTCAAGAACCATTGACAAAGGAAAGATGTTATTGTTTGCATCTAACCCTCCTGCAAGTAACAACTGGCCACCTGTCAATGTTTTCAAATGAGTCCCATCCAAACCTAACACTGGCCTGCAACTTTTAAAGCCTTCTCGACATGCTTCCCAACATATGGACATCCTCATAAACCTTTGTTTCCCACCTTCTTCTTTTTCTTCACTTAGTTTAACAGTGCAGGTGGTAAGTGGATTAGTCCTTATTTCTTCCACATAGCACCATATCTTATTAAAATACTCATCCTCTTCACCTTTTAGCTTTCTTTTGGCAGTGCACATTGCTCTGTAAGCCTGGCGTCTACTTAAATGGAATCTCTCATCAGTACACACCTTTTGTCTGAATTCTGCAGTATTCCAATTGGAGTGACTTTTAATCTCCTTCAACCATATCTTAGCAACCTTGGTTGAGTTTACCATTTTATTGTGATAAAGCCAAGAACACCCTCCATGCTTGTTTTGGAACTCAAGTATCCTCCAAGAGTGAGCATTAACCACCTTTCTGAGATTGATCTTCCATGGGTAGTCTAGGTGTTTACATTTCACAACAACTCTGATCATGTCATTCTTTACAAACTTCACATCCTTACCCGTTTTAAAAGCATGGTTGTTAACTGCCTGCTTGAATTCATCTTTGGTACTGAATGTCATTCCAACCTTGAAAGATGGATTTTCCATATCAGTTTGGGCATTGAAAGGAATCCACATTTCAGCATCAGAATCTGAATCATGTATGGAAGCATCATCAGACAAATTTGGATCAGGATCTACCACTAATGGTTCACTACCATTGTTATGTCCTTCAATGTTGCTGTGCAGACCTCCCCTAGATCAGAATCTGCATCATCCCCAGAGATTTCTTCTAGCTCATCATCAGTATAAGCAAAATCATTGTCTGAGAGGTCCTCATCTGTATCTCCATTGGCATCAAGTTCTTCTAATTCTACCCATAACTCCACAATTTTACCCACATTACCATTACTCACAAAGGACCAGATTTCAGAGTCACCTTTCAGTTCATTTAGTGAAGATTTAGAATAGGAATACACTCTTCTTAACTTCTTTGTGCAACCAACTTCTTCAAGTTTCTCTTTCAACACAATTAAGCCAAACTCATCGACATCCACATCAGAAAACAAATGTGTAGTACCTCCCCTATAAGATGGTCTGCTACTATCACTCACTCTTCCTCTGTTCCTCAACTTTAGAGTAAATGTGGTTTCACATGGGGCTGCATAAATGTAACACTTGAGATTTAATATAAACGGATTAATAGTACTACTCATACAAACAGAGGTGCATCTCCTTTTAAGGGAGCTCATTACCTAAGAACTCCAAAGTTAAGCGTGCTTGCTCGGGAGTAGTCTTGGGATGGGTGACCCCCTGGGAAGTTTCTCAGGGCGCGCATGAGTGAGGACAAAGTGCGCGGTAAAGGCTCGTGGTGGTTTGTGGGGACAGTACTATTGGTCTGGAGTAACTACCTCGGGTCCGGTGGGGCCGGGGTGTTACAGGTGGTATCAGAGCAACCCCGCGACAGTGTGATGACCCGTTGGATATCGGGCGGGCACTTAGCGGGGGAAGATTCTGGGATTTGATTGAGATTCGAGATTGGTTCAAGGGCGCAACGAGGACGTTGCGATCCTAAGTGGGGGTGATTGTAACACTTGAGATTTAATATAAACGGATTAATAGTACTACTCATACAAACAGAGGTGCATCTCCTTTTAAGGGAGCTCATTACCTAAGAACTCCAAAGTTAAGCGTGCTTGCTCGGGAGTAGTCTTGGGATGGGTGACCCCCTGGGAAGTTTCTCAGGGCGCGCATGAGTGAGGACAAAGTGCGCGGTAAAGGCTCGTGGTGGTTTGTGGGGACAGTACTATTGGTCTGGAGTAACTACCTCGGGTCCGGTGGGGCCGGGGTGTTACAATAAATAACTACCTCGGCCTTTTGGCTAAGATCAAGTGTAGTATCTGTTCTTATCAGTTTAATATCTGATATGTGGGCTATTAGCCCACACGATATTAACTCAATTTTTTAAGGGGGAAGGCCCGCTAAGGCAGCTTGCTGTCTGGGTCTTCGGGCGTCGCCTTGGCGTTGCACTGCTGCCATGGCCCGGCGCACCCCACCTAAAAAAAAAAAAAAAAAAAATAAAAAAAAAAAAAAAAGGTAGTTCAATCATTGTAGGTAAAGGGTAAAGGAAAAATAATTGGTCCCATTTGTCAAATCCCAAAAAGTAAGGGGAAAAAAGATTCTCAACAACAAAAACCCTACCCTACCGAGCCCAAAGCCATACCCTACCATGTGCACAAAGAAATTATGTTCTTAAGTTCAACAAACTTACCATTACCACCAACATTTGATGAAGAACTTTGTTGAGCACTTGTTCCTTCTCCATTCCATCTGCGCCCCATTCCGATTACAAACACTCCAGTCGGACGCATCCGCATTCACACGTAAAGGTATTAGGGTTCGTCAAAATCACCA